CGTGCGTACATAGAGATTTCGTTCATGACGGTTCAATAGGAATTAGATAGGACTAGCGCGCGCGCGCTATACTATAGTTGACCGCTGAACAAGTACTGGTTTCTCCATCTGATCGAGAGCTCAAGCCAGCTTAACTTTCTGTAATCAGAGCCGTGTTGTTTGGAAGCCGGTTAACGCGAACCCAGGATTAAAAGTTAACCGAAGCACGTTTTTTTCTTGTATAAAATTCTTTTTTGACCGCTTATCTTTTGTGTAGTTCGAGTTTATTCAAACTCAGAAGGCCAAACAATATAAACAGAAAACCTCACCGCAAAGTTAAAAAAACCTCAAATCACATTTTTCGCTTATCCTGGGTTAGGTTAATCAGGCTTTGAACAACCCGGCCTAGAGCTTTCCATAAGTTGCTCGAGATTTCCCAAAAAAGTTGCCCGCAATTTCTCTAAACGTTGCTCAAGAGTTGCTCAAAAAAGTCATAAGTTGCTTTTTGTAACGAAAGTTGCTCAAAAGTTGCTCCATAAAACCAAAAAACAAAAATTGTTGTTCTCTTCCTTTATTTCGTCTGATGCAAAAGTACAACAAAAGTGAGATTTCTAAGCATTCTACTGCAATTTTGCGGCGTAACCAGCGTTGCTAAATAACTTTGTCCTCCATTAAAATAAAAAAATGCACGAATAAAGACTACACATCAATATTAATGTAAAGCGTGTAAAAATTCTTCACTTGAGACACTCGAATCAGTCGAATGTGAATCTTATTTCGTTCGTCAATGGCCTAGTTGCCCGGCTGCTTGCATCCTGCAGCCATGATCTGCAACATGGAGGAGTGGTATCTGGGTTCTTTTTCATAGGAAATTCATAAATTGTCCACTAAAACATTGTGAAATATGGAAACAAGGCCAATTTACGCACTAAAAGCTGCTCCGATTTCTCAGAAGTGATAGGAAACTCGAAATTGCTCAGCATGCAAAAAGTTGCTCGAAACGAAACAATCTGATCGAAATACAAGAATTTGCCTAAAAGTTGCCGTGCAACTTGCAGACCCAGGACTCTGCTTTTAGGCTTGGCTAAATCCATCTATTATTTCTATGCATGCATGTCCGCTATATCCTTCTACATACTGAATGCCTGAAATTTTTATACCCCTACTGATGGGGGTTACAGTCGCCCTTAGGGAGTACCTCCTTCCCAAACCTCGATGAACTTTAATTCCGCCTGGGCCCTCTACATCGTTAGCTGTCCAGCATCTTCCGATGTCACAATTCTTAGAAATTTAATTACACCGTAGAGTAGCATATTTGAATCCAGTTAGTTATGAAAAAAAAAAAAAAAAAAAAAAAANCATCTGCGGACAGGTTCTTCATTTGGCAAAAAAGATTTCTTGTGTCTTTCCACCTCCCTGACACTGGTTTCATTCCAGAACTATTTTGACATGATCAGGTGACAAGCAGGTCTTTTTCAACATTTCCAACAAACATCCCTGTCACTGTTACTGGAATCTCCCTATGGATTATTAATACACATTAGTCGAGTAATATGACAGCAGTCAAATGAGGTACTTACGTCCAAATCTGACCAAACAGAATTCTCTTGTTCCCATACTTTCTAAGCTTGATTCAAGGTTAATTGGTACACCGGGCTCTGTCACCTTTTCCAGAACATATTCATTGGCTAAAAAGCAATAATGAACACAAGATAAATTTATACTATAATAAAACTGGCGAGAAAAGTTTAACACCATATTTCAATGCCACCATGACATAATTTTCAAGAGACATATCTATAATGCTAACTAGTATAATGTTACCTATTTAAGCTCCTATTGCAATGTTTTATCACCTCAAACTGCATATAATTAAAGACACCTTCAATTTTATTTTGTCACTTGAAAATGATGCCAAGGGGGACATCCTTACATGTCTTTCAATGTAAATTTAATCTCATTCAAAAGATAAAATTGGTAACCATACACTAGTAAAAGGTTATTAAGGTCTCACAGGTATTGTGTGACGACCAACCTGTTCTTATTATGCGTCTTTTCTTGACCATTTTTTCAAACACTTTTTTCATCTCCGCTTTCATACTGTCTACTTTAACTCTTGAAAAACCGTGCTGTCGTTCATGGCTAATAAAGAAAGAAAAACAAATGGAACATTTGATTTAATGACATTGTAATAATCAGCATTACCCTCGGCTGGCAGAAACAGTGAAATCACAACTAAAAGTGACTGGTTTCCAAGAATAATAATTAAAACTATCATGAAGGGCGGTAGTTTTTGCTAATTATTAACAAAAAGTACCAAGAAGCATAAAATGTGTAACAAGATCAGCCTGCTTACACTGTCACTATGATCTCAGATGAAGATTTTGAGGTTGTCGGTTTGGCTGGACTGGCATCTTTCTAGGAATCACAATCAATGATAGTAAATAATTACAAGAGTGTACAAATACATTGGCCTGCGCCACAGACACTAACAACATACTGCCTGTAACGGTTATATATCAGGAATTTTCCATCTGCGACACAGGCTATAGTATGTTAGATGCCCTGAAGCTAAAGATATCACAAACCTAAACAAAGACAGAGCAAAGTGATGCAGTGATGAACTCCAGCTGCATAGAAAGAAACTTCTGAAAATTGACATTACGCAATTGACTGAATTTTAATAATTATTTACGCAAAATAAGGGTTTACCCTCCTTTCAACTTTCCTAAGGCTATCATTAAGGGCAGTAATCTGTAACACCTGTTACAGCTGAGTATGTTTGATAGGCCCTGAAGGTTCCAGGTGACATCCCTTTTAGTTGATACAATTCACCCACACAGTAACAAGTTTGTTACGGGTGTGAAGATCAAGCCTACAGGTGGATCAAACCTTAATGGGTTACTTTTGATCTGGATTTTAAATAAACTAATTAAAATCAATTTGTAAAACCAATTGCTATGTGCACTTACCATCTGAGCTATATACTATGCAGTTTAATTATATACTAATAGACCATTTTACAGTTGTCTGCTCAGTGACCTGGCCTTTGGATGGCAGCGAGGCTGGAGTTGGCCTTGTTTTGATACAGACCTCACTGCTTTTGTTGTCTAAAACGAGTTGTGCAGATGCTAACTAGGTGCATTTACATGACAAAAGCAGTGAGGTCTGTATCAAAACAAGGTCAACTCCAGCCTCGCTGCCTTCCAAAGGCCAGGTCACTGAGCAGACAACTGTAAAATGGTCTATTACATAAATACTAGCAGGAAAACACTAGACAGAAAATAAACATTTAAGCTTTTTAAGACATGAGTTACCTGAACTAAAGCCAGACAATTAAAACCAAATTTAGTGATTGCTTCATTGTTGTCCAAAGCTGGAGTTTGAAATAAATTAATAACTCAAGTTAACCAGGGAAAGCAATATAATAATAATCATTTCATGGACTCTGATATCATATGGCTGATCAATGTGGCTTCCTCTCTAAACATTGTAATTTATTTTACATATAGTGTATTAAGATATTCATTTGACTCAGATTACAGTATGTCTTACACTTAATCACATTGCCTCTCTCCACCCTTGGAAGTGTATAAAATTAATTGGCAGCAGCAAATTTAGTGCCAGGGCCAGAGGGGAGCAGAAATACTCCTGGCTAGTTGCTTCCTGCTACAGAAACTGGGGTAAGCTCTGACACACACATTAGCCTACTCCTACTTGATCTCCTACTCCGATTTGGTCCATAATTTCAACTGGCCAAGCAAAGGCCCATTTCGATCTGAAATTCTATTTTTGTTTTAATTTTGTGTGTATATGTAAGTATACCTGGAAAGTCAAGGTCCACTTCTCCATCATCCTCAGCTATTTGCAAACTGAAAGACTTGACATCAGTCTGAAAGAAAGTAGCAAGAACAGATGCCATTTTCAGACTATCAGTAGGTATATTGTTCCCCAAGGACCATCAAGTGTAGATTCTTACATCAGACTGTAATGTTCAGCAAAATCTCAATCCAAAAAAAAAACATGGGAGATTATATTACCCAACCATGATGGCAACAGAATAGATAGTGAGTAGCTTAGGCAATCAGAGAATGCCAATCATGATAGAATGCTGGTAGATTTATAAAAAAAAAAAAAAAAACTTGACAGAAACATGGTACATGCAGAGAATGTCTAAGAAATTTACCACGATTGATAAATGCACATGTATACATATTCACATTTACTACTCAGTAACAAAACTTTCGGTGAGGTTCTTGTCACCATGATTGTGGCATGTTTACAAGGTCCTTACAGTCAAACCAAGTGAAGCGTAAACCTCAACAATACATTTACTGAATTGATTATTTGAATATTCAACCCACTAGTCGTTTCAAGAATGCAATAATGAATTGATCATTGGAAAATTGAACCCACTAGTCGTTCCAAGAATACAGCTAATGGGTTTAATTTTAAAAAAATCAATTTAATATTGATTTTTGAAATGACTAGTGAGTTCAATATTCAAATAATCAATTCATTATTGCATTCTTGAAACGATAAGCGGGTTCAATATTCAAATAATCAATTCATTAATGTAATCTTGAGGGGTATGCTTCAATTGGTTTGACTGTGCTACCTTCAGCTCAGGCTCTAGTCCTTGATTTGTGTATTTGTACATAATAAGTCCAATCAGGTCCTGGACAAAGGCAGTGCCTATAGAGAATACACTGTCCAATCAATCAATCAATCAAACAAACAAACAAACAAACAATCAATTAATCATTTTTTATTTCTTAATGTACACTTCACAGTTGGACTGGCCCGCAGATAGCTAGTGCTAGTATATCAGAGAAGTGCAATACCATGTTCTAAATAATGCAAAAGATAGCAATCTGAATGGCTCAGTTTTGCTTGTGTGCATGTACACATGACAATGATGACGATGACAAAGTGTTACACAACATGGTGACTATACTCTAGCTAATAGGTTGACCAGGGCATGCAGCCTTGGTTTAGAGCATACATCTTTGATATTGGACATCCATGTTATAGTCAATTGACACCTGTCAAAATAAGGTACTTGCTGACCAGTATCACATGACCATATCCTGGGCTCAGGTTTGGAGCTCATCAAGGTCATGTGATTTTTGAAGTTGACTGCTGTGCAGATACTGGTTTTTGATTGGGTCACAGGCTCAAGCCAGGTTTTATTGTAGTCAGGAGCTCTGCTTTTAGGCTTGGCTAAATTATTTTATGAGTCACTAGGCAGTGTGCTAGTGGCTGTCCACATAATAGACCATATTCATATTCTTGGTATTAGACTGGAACTAGCTTGCAACTGAGGCTAATGCAGGGAGTCTTTTCCAATGCAAATAATATTAATCTCTTTTTGATGATCAATACTCCGCTGCATGAGCCTCCACTGCAAACTAGTTCCAGTCCAATACCGAGAATACAAATATGGTGTATTGCAAGTATAAATTATTATTACATTAGTAACAGGATGTGATAAATCCAGTGGGAAGAAAGCTCAGCTTTACATAAATGGGCTATTGACCAAGTGTGAAGTCAAGATGGCTGGATATTGGCCAAGTTCTTTTTTTGCGTGTTTATGGACCGAGACGGAGTAGCGGTCCATAAACTCCCAAGAAAAGAACGAGGACAATATCCAGCCATCTTGACCGAACAAACTTGGTCAATAAAGGATTTATTATATGGCTTTCGGGGAAATTTTTCTTGCGGGATACACCGGGTAGTCCCAAGCGGGCAAGATAGCTCCATCTTGCCTGCTTGGGTAGCCAATCACAGCGCAGGATTTGATTTATCTTGCCCGCTCACGGAGTTAACCATATAACAATATAAGTCAATAGCATGATACCACGTGACAAAAACTATACTCCTGTATTAAAATGGCCAAACCCCAGTGGAACCACCAGGAGATTTTTTATATCAAATGTATCAAGCTTGGGACCTCATGGGCAAGCAATGGGTACAGAGAGCTGTAACTATAATTATGTAGTAATCCAACATGAAAACAAGAAAGAAAATGGCTTACCTAACACTGTGACAATCATTGGCATGGCCCTCTCCTCCTGTGTAAATGAAATAGTTCATTTTGGAATTAACCTGAACCTATTTCTCAAAGCGAGTCTTGGTGCCTGTTCTTTCATGCCAAAATGAGGTTTCATTCACATGCAAATTAAACTCATTTTCATATGGATGGTTATGCACCAGGCCTCACTTTGATAGAGAGGCTTAAGGCAACTTGGGAATGGCTATTTGCAGAAGAATGCTACCTTAAATTCTCACACTATTGATGAATTTCATTGCTAACTACTGTTATTAAGACTCAAACTTTCACTATCATCTACATGTACATCAATCTTGTTGTCTTCTCCCAGACTTCAAGGGGAAAACACCTTAAATTTTCAATTTCTCCCAACTAGCACAATTTTAATTTTTACACGTACATTGTACATGTACAGTCAAACTCCTATTAAAATGGCCACTGCTACTAGGCGGCCAGTAATCAGAGTCCCGATGAGGGCTTTTCTATCAATCAGTTACGAGAATTTTCAAGTTGACACACATATAAGAGCTATCAGTGGCTGTGATGCACCAAGACATTCAATAAGACCCAGTGAACCCTAGAGAGCCGGCACTTCTTTGTTATTGCTCTCTGATGACTGCTGCATCAGAGCAGCCACCTGCTTCAGATCTTAGCCAAAACACCGACACACTCAATGATGATTACCTCTGGCAGCATCGTTAAAAATATTTTTAGTTTCTTGGTAACGCATGTTCCTTGATAAGCCTGAAATGAGAAAGTACAGTAACCTGTTAGAACTGTCCAAACATTTATAGAGTTACTAACTGTGAATCTGCAGTTAATTTATAAAAGCAAAGAACACCTGATTTCTCTTTCAATTAATTTAATATTATCAGCAATAAAGGCTATTACTGACAAAGACACACATCAACAGAATCAGTGATGAAATGAGAAGAACTGTATTGAATCTGGATTGGCCTACAATTCTGTGAAGAGAGATTCAGCAACTGTAAGGAGAGATCTATGGTGACAACATGGGAAGAAGGGAGATCTAGAGCAACCTGATCAGGGAGTGGAAGCAGATCTGAGAGAAAAAGGTGGAGAGGAGTGACTGATCAAAATTAACACTAATAGTAATTTCATTGGCCATTTTTGTCTTGGTGTTTGCCCTGAAAAAAAAAAATGAGGGGGGAGGGATATGCTTTTGAAATTCTTTAAGACAAAACTTATTTTAATTTTCAGCCAATATTGATGGGGTGCAAGGAGGGGGAGGGTGTTTGTTCGAGTACTTATGGTAGATAAAACCAGTTACCACCCAACTGAAAACTATCCATCATGTCAGTTGAGTTGTTCTCACCTCTCCTTCAAATTTGGAGTACTCCAGGAATGGATTGTTTGGTTTTCCACGAGATTCTTCCAACTGTCTGCTTAGCTGAGAAACTGTGACTGTTTTACTTTTAGATGGCTTCACCTCACGTTTGGCAAACACG